CCAAATTGCTCGGCGCCCTGCATTCGTTGGAAAACGTCTCATTGATATTCCTACGCAAGAATCATTATGGCAGCCAACTATACAACAGCGAGTCATTTCTACAAAATAAATAGATGTATATCAATTAAATATAAATATAAAATATGCATAAAAATGGAGAATCGGAGAGACACTTCGAGGAGAGAAAGAAGCGGGGGATAATTGCTCAAAATTAAGTAACTCAACATACAAAGAGTGATACGAGTACATAGTCTAGCGAAATAAAATTACTTTTCTGTATTCTATTTTACTTTTCTGTATGTGCATACTTGTGTTTTGGTTGATTTGGCAAACACCAGTAAGTCCCCTGACGGCGAACTGTTGACAATCTGCATGGAAAAAAAATGTATTGTGTTGTGTATGTTAGTAAAATATCAGAATATGAGACAAAAGCTAAAAATATGCAGCATTATTGAATATTTCGTAAGTTCTTAGCTTACCTGTAATTGTAACACAATAATTCCGAACTCTGAAGTCGAACGGTTTTCACGATGTCACTCACAAACGACGCGAAAGACGAACTAGATTACTAGTTTGAGGCAAAGAGGATTGTTTGGGTATGTTGGGGATGTTATCGGATGCAACCCCTGCGCAAACTCTTGTCCATTGGATAAACGAATCACTGAGAGGGATCTCTGATCTCTCTATGCCGCGGAGTAGAGGTTTCAGTAGAAGGTCCTCTTATTGGTGGTGTGAGGAAGTGGAGACCTCTCGCCGGGCAGTAATAAAAGCGCGCCGCGCTCTTTCTCGATCTAGAAATAAAAACACTATTACTGAAATAAATGCAAAATATAGAGCCTACAGGGCCTGTTTACGCGTATACAGAATAAATATTATTAAAGCTAAGAATAAATTATAGAATGAACTACTTAATAATTTGAATGAAGAACCGTGGAGTCTACCGTACAAAATTGTCCTTCATAAACTCAGGCCTGTTTCCCACTCGGTCTGTGAAACGCTTCCTCACCCAGAAGTTATAAATATTGTTGATGCTCTATTTCCCGACGACCGTAACGAACATAATTTTACTGACTTTCACTCTCATTTCGTATGGTACAAAGATCTCTCTGTAAGTGTATCAGAAATACGGAGGGCACTTACAAAATTGCATGGCAATAGAAAACCCCAGGTCCGGATGGGATTATGGGAGGGATCGTTTTGGGAAGCGCGGCGAGCTTTATGGAGATCTGGCGACCATGCTTTAACGCATGTCTTCGCGAAGGTATTTTTCCTATAGTCTGGAAAACGGCTAAATTAGTCCTATTTAAAAAAAAGGAAGGGAACATCTCTGACCCTAGAATTTATAGGCCAATATGCCTTTTGGATGAGGCTTCAAAACTTTTTAAAAGGGTAATCGTTTCTAGACTAAATGACCATCTGGGGCAGTCTGGCTTCCTCTCAAAGAATCAATTCGGTTTTAGAGAGGGTCGGTCGACCCTAGATGCAATTTTGGCACTCAGGCGTATAGTGATTAACGAATGTGAGGAGGGCAAAGTTGTTGTGGCGGTGGCTCTTGATATAAAAAACGCCTTTAATACGTTGTCATGGAGTGTTATCCGTCAGGCCATGATCTCCATGGAGTTCCCGAGTTACCTATGTAGGATCGTTTCTGGGTACCTGTCTGACAGGAGCTTAATTTACGTTGACTCGGAGAGTGCTTTGCGGAGACAAGGGGTGTATTGTGGTGTTCCACAGGGTTCGGCCCTCGGACCGACCCTGTGGAACATTGGATACAACAGTGTGCTTAGTCTCACCCTTCCGGATGGTTGCAGTATACTTGGTTACGCGGATGACACTATTCTGCTTGTCTCCGGGGAGAGCCTGATTGCGGCATCCCATCTTGCGATGAATGCGACCGGAATAGTTGTGAGGGAGATCGAGAGACTTGGTCTCGAGATCTCTCCGCACAAAACGGAAGCAATGGTCTTCCCGGCCACTGCGGCTGAGCGTGTTTCCCATAAGCTAATAATAAAAAACAGAAAGGTTCCTATAGCACAGACTTTGAAATATCTTGGTATTATTTTAGATGGAAGTTGGACATTTACACAGCATTTTGAGAAATTATACTTTAAAGTTGATAAAACCATAGGTTATCTCAGAGGAATCATGCTCAACTGCAAAGGACCTAATGAAAGAAAAAGAAAGCTATATCTTAACGTGGTCCTCTCTATGATTCTGTATGGGGCCCCTGTGTGGTCAGTCTCTTTTGATAGAAATAACAAGACGAAATCATTAATGATGAAGCTTATGAGAAGGATTACCCAGAGGGTCTGTTGCGCATATCGCACGGTTTCCTTTGTCGCGGCGTCAATCATATCAGGAACTCCCCCACTAGAGTACCAAGCGCGTAGATTGGCGGACATGTATTTTCGAACTAAATTTGCTATTGACAATGGACAAGAGATCTCCCCCAGTATCAGGGCAAAATGGCATTCTGAGGCAAAGGAACAGGCCCTGTCGGATTGGAGGGTGGACCTGCTAAAGATGAAAGTCAATCATCCTAGTTACAGGTTGCGTAGTGCAATGACAGATAGATTAGAAGACTGGACAAATAGGAAACATGGCTGGGTTACATACCATATGACCCAAATTTTAACTGGCCACGGATGCTTTAGTGAATTTTTGCATAGAATAAGGAAAGCAGATTCGGAATACTGTTATCATTGTCTTGATGAGATTGACACAGCACAGCACACCCTTCAGTTCTGTAGCTCCTGGGAAGCCGAGAGGAATGACTTAATGAGGGTTATCGGAGATAAACTCGATCTCCCATCTGTCATAGATTCTATACTGGATAGTTTAGACAAGTGGAAAGCCTTCTCTTCCTTTTGTACAAAAGTATTGTCTTGTAAAGAAGCGGCGGAAAGGGAGAGACAGGCGTCGAGTAGAAGACAAAAAAGCTGATCACCTTGATTCCGAGGATTCAGAATAGGATCACTTTCTTTAAATTGTATACGTACTTAGATACAAAATTAGTATTATGGGAAACATTATGTTCCTTTTTACCCTTTGTAAAGGGCAACTCGGGCGTCTGTGCATGCCTACGTGTGCTTTAGGATGCTGGTGTTGCGCTCTTGGTAAAATTAGGTTTATTAAGTAGTATTATTAGTTATACTTTGTTATTATTGTTAATTTTAGTAGTTCCCGTTAGTTTTTGTATAGAACCTCTTATGAGGGTGATCCTAAGAGAGAGACAGAGATATACTCTCGTCAGTAAGCCTGTCTCCCTCTCATGTAGGGGCCTGGTAGGTATGAGGTGAGTTTTTAGCTAGTAGGCGGTCGAGATGCGCTGTTGGGTTCTGACATGGCTGATGGGGTTTTGTTTTCCCTCCCTTCCCTTCCCTTGGACCAAACGCTCTCAGCTGAGTGTAGGCCCTGGCTAGGTTGGGGGATGTCTTCCCCTCCTCTGGCCATGTTCAGATTACTCCCTAGGCAAGTGGTCTCGGGTGAATCCAGCACTACCCTGGACCGGGCCAGGGTGTCTTTTGAAGATTTTCTCATCTCTGGAAAAAAAAAGTGTATGTTATTGAAATGTTGCAAATGAAATGTTTTATATGAAAAGATAATAAGGCAGAAGTTTTCTAGTTACTAGAATGTTACCTAGATATTGTTGAATTGTCATAACTGTAATGTTTCCGTAACGTTGCATGAATGTTTCCTGCATGTTACAAGCAACGTTACAAATGAAACGTTTCATAGGGGATATTGCGGAGGTAGGACATTTCGGGTTACCGAGTAGTTGCAGAAATGTTTCTGCGACTTTATGAGAAACGTTACACTGCCAATATGAGATGTTACAGAAACGTTGTTGTAACACAATTTTGTTTAGTGGGTATATACGACAGTTTTTTTTTATTTAATATATACAACAATTTTTTTGAAAGGTAAAACACTGTTTTGTTTTGATTGTAATAAAATTGACTGGAAATTATAAATATTGTTGGAACTAATTTAGTATACATAGAACAGAAATATTAAACTTTGAGCTATTTAATTTTATTTATTTTAGACAAATCATACACTAAAGTCTCTAAACCAGAGCTCGGCGTTAGTTGCACATTTCGGCTCGATTCTTGAGACGACGCCTCCCGCCTCTCCCACTACCGCGCGGCCGCTAACGGCCGAGCTGTCGATAGCTCTGGCTCAGGTAGCGTTTTATATTAGAAATAGGCTGGATTGTTTAGGCATCTCAAAAAATCGTAACATTTTCTTCATTACATAAATAATGTTTATTTTATT